TTAACTCAACTTTACCCTGTAACAGTTTGAGGCTTTTGTAGTATTAAGGTGTATGTGTACTGATTACACATTGGTTACACATTGGTTCAATAAGTAATGGTCTCAGCATAAAAATCGTTTTATGATTAATATTGGCTCTCCTTGTAGATATTACCAGTGAACTCTTAGACTTAAAACAAGAGAGGTTGAGGAAGTCTTGCTGTTTTAATAACAAAAAGGCTGCTAAAAGCTAAAGGGGTTCTAAATGAGACTGAGCCGTGTCCGTTTGTCTCTGCAGCTCAATGATGAACTGAAGCAAAGCTTAAAGGAAACCATGACCCAGAAGTACAAGCAGCCAGGAGAGGAAAAAGTGACTAATGCTGTGGACAAACTACAACAAGAGGTAGGGGAGTTTTCCTTCTAATAAGATGCAGTTACTGCTGACTTGGGTGTTTTACAAGATTACTTTTTCTGCACCCAATGGGTTTTAAACTGGGAAAACCCCTGTTTTCATATGTCTCATACCAGGCTTGGCTTTCTTTTTATACAGTTTAAGTGCTGTGGAAGTAATAATTCCCAGGACTGGAAGGAGAGTGTTTGGATTAAGTCTCCAGAGGCTGACAGGCGTTTGGTTCCAGACAGCTGCTGCAAGACTGTCACTCCTAATTGTGGGGTACGAGACCACCCTTCAAATATCTACAAAGTGGAGGTAAGACCGGGCTATAAATTCAACTTGTATGCAGTATATTCATAGTCTTACTGCAGTGCAGTTTTTTTTTTATTAGTCTCTAATTTTTTTATGGTAACCAATGCAATATGAAAGGCAATGGGAAGAAACATAATTACATTACATTTGCTACACATATTTTCATTAACCAATCCAAAATATCATTTAAAAAAAAATAGCAAAAATTGATCTTCGTAGCCATATGGGGATCCTTGATTTACCTAATCAATGGGGCTGTGTCTTCCAACCTGGCAGTATGGTTTGGGCTCTGGTATACCAGATTCAGTCTATGGTGAAACACGGATGCATAAAAACAAAGGACGAATTCGTTAGATGCCATTATGTACTATGTCACCAAGCAGGAGTGCAAACTCCGTGTACACCCAGTTTTATCTAGAACTATGAGGTGAGTGGAAATCACTCATCTCATAGTTCTCCTTTTAAGTACCTGCGATATGGGGTTTTACAAATGTCCCCTAAACTTCTATGATTAAGCCCTGGACGAGAAGAAACGCCTCAGAGGAGTACAGTCTGACATTATGCTCAAGGAACAATAAAGCTTGTTTGATTTGACAAGAAAAATGGCTTTAGCAGTGGTGCAGTCTAAATGTTTAGTTGGATTATGCCACAAATACTTGACTTTCAAAAGTTCTATAGGATTCTTCATGGCATATTGGAATCACTTTGGAACCGGTGAAAGGGATCTGCTGGTGGCAGATTGTGCCAGCTAACCAGACATAAGCTGCCATGCTCTTTGTATGGACACTTTAAAGGGTCAGTCTATATACATATACCAGGAGAAAGATTCACTTGCATGGGCACAATAGCGAGCAACAGTCACTGGCAAATTTTCTTTTATAACCCAGTGAATGTGATATTTACTGCACATTAACTGAAATTCTATACTTTACACATTCACCATTCTGAGAAGATGAACATTTTTATAAGGCAGTTGAAAGGTCCAGAAGTGTTTAAGAACTGTAAAATGTTGGTAGGCCATAGTCACCCTGGTATGCCTTCATTTCTAAGTGAATACAATAAACTTTACTATAACTCAATGATTTGTAAAGCAGTACTCATCATTAGGCTGCTGACATTGATTTGAGCCACACGTCTTCATATATAAACTAAATGTATTTTTGTTAAAATAATTTTAATATAATTCATTTTTTTTTTTTAACACGTGATACATCATGTAAACATACATTTTCCTAATAAATCCAAAAATTCAGCAAACAGAAGGTTATTGAAAATGAAAATAATCCGCTAAAAACGGAAATGTACTGAACCAATTTAGACCATGGATTAACTGAACATGATGTAATTATCAGATTTTAGAGATTTTAGAGCCAAAAATTAATAATGACACATTTTAGAAAGGAATATGCATACATTGATTTCTATTTGGATTGGAACAGATAATTTCCAAGGACAGACAACCACACTATGCTCTATATCAGAACCTTCTACATCCTGTGCTATTTATAAAGATTCATTGAATATTCATCCAAAAATAATCATAATAATCATTACACGTTCACCAAGTGAACATTCACAGACATCACTTTCACCATATTACAAATACAGTGAATGTGTGGTAAATGTCAATGAATCCAACATACATTTTTATATATTATTTTCTTTTGATTTCAGGGTGGCTGCATCACCAAACTGGAAGCCTTCATCCGATCTCACCTGCTTATTATTGGAGCGGTGGGATTAGGTATTGCCTCTGTACAGGTAAGTCTTGCGGAAATGATTACTTTAAATGGTTGAAGTGTAATTTGTAGCAGCATAGACCTTCAGCCAAGGCCAGATGTTCCCTCGAAATAAATAAATGTGTATGTCAGTTTGTGAATACATACACTACCGGTCAAAAGTTTTAGAACACCCCCATTTTACCAGTTTATATTGAAATTTACAGTTTAATGTCTCAATGTACTCTGCAGATATAACAGCTGAACACACTAGTTTCAGTCTTTCTACAGGGGAAATCAAATATTGTTCAGAAAGTTCTTCCCAACACTGTTGCAGAAGTTTCCACAAATGTGTTGCACTTGTAGGTTGCTTTGTTTTCACCTTTCTGTCCAGTTCATCCAAAACCAGCTCGATGGGGTTTAAGTCTGGAGACTGTGCTGGCCATTTCATGATTTGAAGCCAACCGTCTTGTTCTTTTCTTCTAAGGTAGTTCTGACACAGCCTAGAGGTTTGTTTTAGGTCATTATCTTGCTGTGGGATGAACACCTGACCAACTAGGCATACACCAGAGGGTATTGCATGGTGCTGCAAAATGCTGTGGTAGTAGTTATGGTTCAGGGTGCCACTCACTCTGTGCAAGTCGCTGACTCTGGAGTAAGCAAAAGAGCCCCAGACCATCACGCTTCCTCCTCTATGTTTAACAGTTGGGGTTTCACACTGAGGCACCATCCTTTAACCTACTCTAACAGCATACAAAAACCCTGTGTGATGAACTGAAGATCTGAAATTTTGATTTATCGGTTCAGAAGACCTTCTTCCAGTCTTCAGTAGTCCACTGGTGGTGCTTCATGGCCCAGGCAAGACTCCTTTTTGTTATTATGCAATCCTAGCAATGGCTTTCTTACTGCCACTTGGTCTGTCAAACCTGCAGCTCAAAGTCTTCTCTTCACAGTTGAAATTGAGACTTGCTTATCTCAATCAGTGTTAAGCTTTGCTTGAAGCTGTTTTCCTGTGAGCCGCCTTTGACGCAAGCTGATGACTCTCAGAAACTTGTCTTCTGATTCTGTTGTGCCTTTGGGTCTGCCAGACCTCTTCTTGTCACAGTTTTCTCCAGTTTCCAAGTGCCTTTTGATGGTTTAGGAAACTGTACTCACTGACACCTGGCTTTCTTTACAATTTCTCTAAAAGAAAGACCTACACTTTTAAGGGTTATAATGGCCCTTCTGTCTTCCCTTTCTTAATTGCCTTTTGCTCACCATTTTGAGAGCAATATACACTGAGTGGCCAGAATATTATGACCACCTGACGTTTGTAGGCAAATTAGCTATAATTTTGTGCTGAAGTTGCTAGAGGGCCAGACCATTATAAATAGGGAAGCAGGTTGTTTACCACGGCAGTAGAAGTGATTTTTTTCTGAAGATATGGGTAAACTACGCGATTTAACAGCCTTTGAACGTGGGATGATTGTTGGCGCTCGGAAACCATGGAGCGAGTATTTGCAGCTGGTTCCACAACCATCAAATCTGACAGAACTGGACAGTGCTATTCATCAGGCATGGTGTCAGATTCCTCAAATCACCTTTCAACATCTCGCGGAGTCAATGCCAAGAAGAATCGCCGCAGTATTGAAGGCAAAAGGTGGCCCAACAAAGTACTGATGGGGTGGTCATAATAATCTGGCCGCTCAGTGTACTACTTCCTGAAATATAATACTGTCCAAATATTGCTTAAGTAGGTGTAGTAACACAGTCTGTTCCAACACTGCTTTTATACAGACAGAGGGCTTGTGAGTAATCGACAAAAGTTGACACCTGTAGGAATTGTTAGCATAAACTTTCCAGGCTTAATTTACTTACATTGCTGTACAACTACTGTGAGTTGATAATCCATTACTTCTTACCTGAAAAAGGCCTTTTTGTAGAAGTCTGAAATGTACATTATTTTTCAGGGTTTTTTTTTTTTTTTTTTTTAATTTCACCTCTGGCAATTTACCGCTTACCTTTTGTACCTTTTCAGATTATTCACTAGACTTCAACTGCTTACATTTCAATAAAAACTGGAAACGTGGGGGTTTTCTAAAACTTCTGTGAATGTGTGTGTCCATCAGGTAAGACATATCTGCATAAGATATGCCTTACCTGATGGACTAATATTGGTATGCATATTAGCTATGGAGAGAGCACATTATAGATTATTATAGCCAGAAGTATTTTCATAAGAAGAGCCAAGTCACTCATCAAGAGCCCGTTATATCTGGGAAAATTGCTCTACCATTCATATAGACACTGCCGGAAACGCATGCAGGTAATTATTTCTGCCACCTCACATTCTTTTTGAAATGTTAGTTGTGCAATATGCTCACTGCACAGTGCAAAGTTGCTGGCCATTATTAATGTGCCCCTGCATCTTCACCTACATATTAAGGTTCCCTCAACCTTTAGAAACACTCTGTGTGTCTGGATCTCCTACAAATGTGCACGTGTAGAACACGGGAAAATTGTTCCCGAAATGTTTTTCTTTTTTGGCTACCAGCTTAAAATGCCCAGCCAGCAACTTATTCTCCAAAAAGGGATTCAAGAGGTTGGATGATTGGCATCTATTGTTTATGGGCACTTTGAGGAGCAATACTCATAATACATGTTTCTCTTAGACTTTAGACAGTAGCTGGATTGTTCACAAGGCATTTTAAGTGCCTGTGTTTCCTGGGAACAATGGTGTATTGTCATATCAGACAATTTCATTTCAAAGCCACCAGAATAGATTACCAGCTGGGTTATGACAATGTTTTTGTGTATAAGCCCTTCACGTTTTTGTTTTCTCCACATTATTACTTATTAAAATATGAATGCTTCCTACTTTGTAACAATATTTCATTTTTTTGTCATTTAGCTTTTTGGAATGATCTTCACCTGTTGCCTGTACAAGAGTTTAAAGTCTGAGCCATACTAAGATGGACTCGCTCATTGCACTTCATCTACTGACAAAACACAATCTGCTGCCTTATTAAGATCCTTGGAAACCTAGAATGAGTTCCAGACACGTTCTGAATATGACATCATCTGCTTTCAACATCTAAAAATATAGGAGCTTCTCTGTGTCATCACAATAGCATGACATCATTCTCTTACTTTGATTTCATCTGTGTCTTTGTGCCAAGCTATAACGAGACAATGAAGTACATCCACTGCGCTCCAGAAGGTTAATTCTGGCTACCAGCCTTTTGGTGTTGACTGAATTTGTTGATTTTATGTGTATGAAGAACAGCCAGTAAGGGACTCCTACAATTCCTCACACGTCCTGCAATTAGAACTGATTTCGAAGTTCTGCTTTTACCGTGTTCAGTTTGCTCTGACACTGCTTAAGTTTTATTCCTGCAAACCGCTTTGCTTTTAACCCAAATGGCACTGCAAGAACCAGCGTACATGGATTTTGGCATTATTCAGACATGTATATTTTATGAAACCTGCTGTACTAACGGTTTACAAGTCTAATTTCTTTTTGGTGCCATTATAATGTAGTAAGTGTGAACGTTATATTATTTCATGGTGATTTGGAGACCTTCTAATCTGTGCCTTTTTATTGAAGGAAAACAAATCAAGCAACCAAATTGTCATAGCTAATGAATTGATTACATGGAGCAGTAACACTGGTGCCTTTTTTTTTTAATAAACTATATATATATATATATATATATCTATATATAGATAGATATATATTTCTTCTCTGCAGAACATAAATATCTTCCATATTTTTTAGCACGCTGCAAGCAGAAAAATAACCTGTTGATGTGTCTACCTTCCTCCTTGACATGGCAACACAGCTTTGAATTCCTAAGCATGTGGTGTCATCCCTGCCAACTTCACTTCTGATGATTGCAAACAACACAGACCTCTCATCTCCATAACTCTTCCTGGTGCAAAGGCAGAGAGCACAGGAAGTTTTCAGCTCGCAAGATTTCGGGCAAAATCACCAGGTGTTTTTGCACTTGTCGAACAGATATAACAAAACCCTACCAATGGTATGTTTAGCAGACCCAAAGGGAGCAAATGAGAGTTCAGTGTTAGGGTTACACTTTAATCAGTGGTTTTTTTATCATGAAGGTAAGCAGTGTTTTTGTTTTTGTGTTGTTTTTGTGTTGTTTTTTTTTGTAAAAAGCCTCAGCAACACTAATTGTCTAGTAGTACCCAAATGGGTTTTCTGTCGTAGTTCTATGATTTGTAACTCTCTTTTTAATCAGTCTTTGTATTTCTTACACTGCTTTTTACTTTAGCAATGGAGATGAACTGCAAAATGTTTTCAAACCTAATACTTATGATATAATCAGCCGTTTCAGGCTTGGGAGTGGCATAGCAGAGGATGTCTGCAGTCATTAGGATTCATCATCAGGAAGTTTCATCTGGGCAGCAGAAGTGTCCTCATTCCCCCATAATAGTTTTCGTCTATAATATCTGCAGCTCCTATAAACCCCATGAATCTGAGATATAACATTGTTGCATGTGTTAATATTAATCCAGTTTGTGGTTATGGATCTTTGAAGTGCTGCATAGCATGGTAACATTGGCAGCATACAGATGCAGAGATAGACACCGGCACTCCAAGGCAAGTCAAGTACGTCTTATTATTCACGTACATGTTGCAAAGCAAAAACACTAGGTGCAACGTTTCGGGGTCTCGCAGGATCCCCATCATCAGCAAACAAGTGATGAAACGTTGCACCTAGTGTTTTTGCTTTGCAACATGTACGTGAATAATAAGACGTACTTGCCTTGCCTTGGAGTGCCGGTGTCTATCTCTGCAGCTATATATTTGACATCCACAGCTCCCATTTTTTTAGCTAATGGAACAGTGGTTCTGAGTGCAATGGGTATATGGACTTTATTTATATTGGCAGCATACAAGCGCAGATGCTAATCTAGCTGAGTGATAGTACAAGGGTGCCATCCCAAGCGCCATTGTTGGTTTCAAGTGAACTGGCATGCCTTTTCTCCCATAATTATTGGTTCAACGCAGTAAATTATGGAGTGGAGGCGATATGCTGCATCTCTTGATGTCTTCTGTTCCTGGGAAAAATAGTTTAGAACTGCCGAAATTACTATGTACATTTAGTTTTTTTATTTTTAAATGAGGTCTTAAAATGTCAGTGAAAAGAAGCAATTTTGTGGCAATAAGAACTGCTATCTTTGCCAGGTAATTACGTTCAGTTGCCTATATACACTGTAAGCTTTCATCTAACATTGATTTTGGCAAGAGGAGGATGAAGCCTCCAGCACCGCTGTGCTAACAGATTATCATTAGGATGGGCCTGTCACTGTTTTTTTTCTTCTACATGCTTGCTATCGCAGTTTAAATCGAATGATATTTAACCATCTGCAAAGCAGTTCTAGTGACATCTTTACTCCTGTGGCTTTATTTAATAAGACAAAAAAGCAATGTAGAAAATTCACAGTTTCACCCACACTGAAACGGCCTTTTATTAGGGCTGCCGGCACTGTGGACGACTTTGTAAATGTTTTCAATTTGTCATTTTATCCATTTTTATGTTTAGATATTTTGGGCCCTAGGCAAGAACATGTATTGAGGTTTGACCTGGCAAATCCACTTAGTCTGAGAGCTTTCTGCTAGTCATCAGTCTTGTGTTCATCATTTGCGTTGTATGAAAAATGATGCTCGGGGTGCCTCATGTTTCTGGTGAAATATTTTGACAATTGTTAATCCTCCCTCCTTGCTACTTCATTCTACTTGGCGTTTTTTTTATATTCAGTGCGGCATACAGTCAAAAAGGGAATCTGCCAACTTGATGAGTATGCCCTACAGGTAGACGATAGGGAATAAATATTTAATGAACAATATATATTGCGTATTGTGGACAGCTGGAGAGTATTGATTGTGGCTACTGCAGCTCTTGTTTAAAGGAGACCTGTATCTGGTACAGGAGCTGAACTGCTAACCTTGCCTTCTAGAAATGCTTATTGCCTGAATGTTGTGCTGGTCCAATGCTTCAGCACATTTCAAGTGAGTGACCTAGAACAGGTATGCATATAAGGAGTTCTGACTTCAGTTACATAGTTTTAGGTTGAAAAAAGACACAAGTCCAGTCTACAAGTTCTGACAGTTTGAATTGCTGCATACTTTTTCTTGGTCATTGACAGCCAGGCGGCTTTCAGAAGGTCAGCAGTGGCATCCCCCATATTTCTCTTACTACAGGTTTGCTTAAAGTATGTTTCAAGGCATCATCAGTGCACCTTTTATATGTCATTTTATTTCATCATGTTAACAGCTGAACCAAGGGTCTGCCTGTGTTTATCCTGTCATCAGCATGGGACAGTAAGAGGAATTTCACAAGAGAAACAGAAAATTTGGAACATTATATAAGAAAAACATTGAAATGCCTTTCCCTGAATTCTAGTATCTAGTGGTCTGTGCTAGTCACAGTTGATGCTCTGTAGCACTACTCATTTCCAGATCATTGCCATGAATTTGCTTACAGTATTTTACTGACTCCTAAAATAATACCATGTACCCTTGTGTGTGTATATTAATGAACTTCATGTATGAAAGTGTCTGAATGAACTATTCTTGTTGCCCTTCACAACCAGTCTGATTCTTCCTTTCATGTTTATAGTGTAGCTTAGAAAGATAAAGGGAGAGTATGGTTGTCAGAGGCATAGACCTAAAAGTGCTTTGAAAGAAACATTGTACATTTGTTTGCATTATTTTATTTTTTTGTGTTGCCTACAAAACTACTGAAATACATAGAACAAAAACTACTGGACCTGGCAGGTTTGTTTGTATCAATTAATGTCGTTTTATGTGGAGTATGACTTTCATATGTCATTATGTATTTTTATAAATGACATGTTTTATGTGATATTGTAAGCTTTATCCAAGCACCTCTTTTTATTGTTTGGTCTTTAACTTGCACAGATCTATTAAAGTAAAAATGTCAAGGCAGTATGTACACTTGTTCATCTAATGGCTTTACTGTTTCTGATCTAGAGAGATCTCGGCATGATTTGACTGGTTTCAGTTCATACATATTATCTCAAAGTATAATCGTGTCAGCATTTCAATGGATTGTTGGTTGAGGGACTCCAGATCAGTCTTATGTTCAAATGGTACTAAAACAACTTCATCACCTGAAGATCGGTTGAAGTAAACCTTTGAAACTTGAGCAATGAAAAATGATAAAAAAGATAACAATCTGTAGGTCCTGAGATAGAGGGTAGCTTACAGTAAAAACAATGAAGCGCCACTAACTATCAGTCCTCACTGTGAAATCTTCTCAGGCATACTGCAGGATGCTGCCCCAAAGAAGCCGGGAAAGCTGGGAATCTGGAAAGTAAACACAAAGGGAGCGCCTTTCCTAGTGCAGATCAATTTATTTCAATAAGCATGCAGTAAAAAGGAGATGAAATGGTACTCAAACATGAGTGTTACACAGGCATGGAATGGGAGCTGACATGCAGTAAGGCATCCACTGGACAATTCCTGTGTGTGATGACGTTGACGCGTTTCCGGGGCACGCGGTTCTGATGAAGGGGGCGTGCCCCTACCCTGTATGTCTTTTAGTCCAAGCAAGTGGCATTCCTCTTGTGGTTGAGAACCATGAAGAATGGCCAACCTCCTGACCATGCATTGGAACATTCAGCAAACTGCATTGCCTTCCATGTGCTTAATGTGATCATTGGTTTCACACTATGGCAGTGGATGGAGTTCAGCACCGTCATTCAGCTGCAAATCCAGGACTCTGCATGTAGATCTAAATGACCAAGTTCATTAATGATAACAGAAGCTGCAGGGTAATTCCAGCTGCCAATAGCCTCCAAAAAGTAACACGTAATTTTCATGGACTTGGCTTTTAATACAGTTGTGCTGCTGGAAGTGTGTCTATTAGTGGTCTGTGAGGACCTGAATCGGGAAGGACATTTGAAGAAGAATGTTGTTTCTTGGCTGGAAGATTTCATTCCTTTTCATGGACATGGGTTTAGTATAGTGGGCTGTGCAGCCAAGTACTCCCAAACTAATCTGTTATTTAAAATGAACAAATCAGTTTGCTAACTGCAAATTTAGAATCCACCTAAACATTTCTATCCAGAGATATCTGATCTGCGGAAAATTACTCAATTTAGGAATCCAAACTGGCGTGATTTATAATTTGTATGATTTTTCTCAGCTTGTATAAATCTGTGTAAAAATATTTAGGAACATGGCAATTCACCTGATTATTGAATCAATTGGCTTATCCCCACTTCTTACTTCTCAATATAAAAACGTTGAAGGTCATTATATTTCAAAGATTGCACCAGTTCCCAATTGAAAGATATTCTGAATTGGCTTAGCCTGTGCACAAACTGACTAAAGATGTTAAAGGGTTTGCTCACAGAATGAATCTATCATAAACTAATGAACATACAGCTTACAACCAAACTTCACCTAACTCGCACACAAGAACGAGAGGACCAGATCTCTTATAAGTATGTCATCATCTGCTATGAAGGAAT